TTATCAGCTGTGAAAGCGGTGCACTTACGTGAATCGGGATGAAGGGATAATTGGTACATTCTATCTAAATGGAAAGCAGTGTATTTTCTTGAATTTTCATTTAAATTTAATTGATAATAACTTTGGGACAAATCTAATTTTGAAAAATACATAGAATTTGATAAGGAATCTAAAATATCTGTAATATTGGGAAGTGGAAATTTATCATCTTGAATTCTATTATTTAATTGCCTATAGTCAACGACAAACCTATACTTCTTTTCATTATTTTTGTCGGTCTTTTTCGGAACAAGCAAGACGGGACTAGACCACTCCGAGGTGGATTCCTCAATAATATCGTTGTCTAACATATCCTGTATTTGTTTACGTAACTCTGGTTTTAAAGAGTGTGGTATTCTGTAGGGTTTTATATAAACAGGAGTCGCATTATCCTTTAAAGTAATTTTATGCTCCATTAAATTAGTGACTGACAGTTTATCACCTGGGAGATGAAACACGTCCGCGTACTTAGCGCAAATAGACTCAATGCTAAGTCGTTCATCTTTGTTTAAATAACCTAGGTTAAGAAGCTCAAATAATGTTTTTATACGATTTACTGAAATTTCCCTTTCCGAAAAATTACAAACATCGAAATGATGCAAACTATATACTTCTAAATGAGAAAAATCATAAATTAGGTCATTTTCCGTCGTATTTAATATTCTAATCGGGATAAGCCCGTTTCTAGGCCTCGACAAAACACCTGCAATAAATACTCCCTCTCTTATTTCATTCGCAAGGACGACACAATCGTCGGTTATATTCGTAGGTATGAACTTAATAGTTTCACACCTCGCAGGTATGTTGTGTTTATACCTGTTATTTATACACATACTTATCGATTTAGACGACTGAGTTAGGCTTAAAATGCCTTTACCATAATCAATTAACGCTAAATATTGTTTTAAAAAGTTATCACCTATTATTCCATCTGCAGAGCATGACAGGTTCTTAAATACGTAAAATTTATGTCTAAAAGTCATACTGTTACTACTTAATTCTAAATAAATGTAACCTTCTGATATTAACCTACCGCTAACACCTCTAATAGTTAATCTTTCGGGAACAATTTTATTTTTCAAATCACTAAATACCTTAGCTAAATATTCATACTTAATTACACATAAACTGGCACCAGTGTCTATTAATAAATGTATTATCCTATCTCCTAAACTAAAAGCTACCGTACTCGAAGTATTATAATTGAGAACTACATGCTCTGTTTTCGTTTGAGGAACGAAAAAACTGACTCTCACTCATGGTTGAGGTTGGAGCTCGAGGCTGCCTTACCTCAGTGTCGCAGTACGTATGGTGGACACGGGAATAGCCTCGTGTACGGGGCTGATACTGCGCGCCTGGCGTTGACCAGCGCGCGCCCGGGGAGGGTGCACCTCGACCTCGAGCGGAACCACGTTGCGGCACAAACGTGCGCGGCGCGCTCACATTATGCGACTGGATCGGGTTACCGTATTGAGCACGCGAGTTACTATAATAATTATTGCCAATATTTCTACCGCGGAACCCTTTATTAATAAAATGAAATGTTTTCGTGGACTTAGGGTGGTGACGAAAATTCATAACTTGTTCCCCACTGGTAGAAAGCGTCTGCTCGTCTATAGCACTACGGATTGCCTCGGGAAGAGAAAGAAATTCCTTTGATGCAATAATAATACTCAATCTAGAGTTTGCCAAACCATCGGCAAAGCGTTTTATAGCGATCTTTTCATTAATTGGTCGCAATACGTCATATTTTGAACTATCGCCATCGGCCTGTGCTAATGTCAAATTAGAGAAGATATCTTCTAGTTCATTACCGAATGCTTCTATTGACCTATTTCCCTGTTTTACATTTTGTAACCGAGACTGAAGAGCGACTGCCGATTTTTTTTGTACTAAATACTTTTTCATGTCACTGAGCAATGAACCAACTGTTGTATAGCTACCGCGTAAGCGAAGTTTCGCGCTAGGAGATAATCTTGTTTTTAATACAAAATCTATAAGTGAATTTTTCGATGTCTCATCAAGTTTAGAACTATACATTTCTATACCGTCGATTAATTGTTTGGTGACATGTTCCTGACCAGTCATTATGGGAAGTAAACTAATAGCCGTTTTAAAGTCAAAGGACATTGTATCTGCCATTTTTACAGTTTTAGAACTATCGGGGTCTCTAGTTGCAAAAGTAACTAATTTATTTATTTCACTATAAATTAAATGAATATTATTTACTACAGAATTAACTTTAATAAGATCTTCGGCACTTATCTCAGAATTATTAATATTAGCTTTAATTTCACACAAAATATACTCTAGTTGCAAATAAATGACATTGGCTTCTTTTAATTTAGTTTGACCGATTTCTTTCTTTCTACGTTCAGGGCCTATTTTACTTAAATATACTTTTATTTCCTGTAACTTACTATATAATTCAACTAATTTATGAGACATAACTATCTATTACTTCTAATTTAATAAAATAACTCATAATTGAATTCTAAAAATAGCAGCTAAATTGTACCTACATATATTTTCTTCCAATTCACTTGCTGACGTCACGAGCTGCGGCGGGCGGCGTTCTTGTGGCGGTCACGTTCTGCTGACATCAAACAACGTGGCCCGTGCTGCTGTTCCTGTTGACGGCCGGGACGGGGACTTCTTAGTTTGATGGTCTTGCTTGCATTTCTAAGGTGCTGTGGTTGAGCTCCCTTCTCAACGAAAGAATAGCATTTCTTCGGCACTTCTTGTACAATAGGTATGCGGCACCGACGAACAGAATGACGAATAGCGTGATGAGCAGTATCTCGGTAAGGTTCAACTTGGTCTTCGTTACTTGAGCGCTTCCACCGGCGTTTTGAGCGATGATAATTTCTTCTTTGGACTGTGAGCTACGGCACATTGTTATTGGTAATTGGCGCGATTGCCCCAAAAATAAGATTCTTCATAATAATTTTCAATCTTCAAACTTCTTCTTACTTGACGTTCAGTTCAGTTTCAATATCTTCTTTCTACAATTTATTTCTATAATTTTTCTTCCAAATTTCGCAGGGTCGCCATGTGGTATGTTGGGTGATAGCGGCAGGTTATAATAAATACAAAGACGTAGATAGGTTGGTGTCCATTTATTGAAGAAGGCTTAATGGTACAAAACATACTTATTTATAATATTAGTGCACTACGTAGTTACACACACACACACTTATAAAATATAACACACAATATTATTACAAAACATCAGCATTTCACGTGGCCTACTTTCGTGTCATTCAATGTTGCGTTGTATTATTAATACATATTTATTAAATTATTTTCATACTATCACATTGTATCACCCCGAAGCTAACCCCGTTGAACGCAAAAACCGCGATTTGAAGCCTCAGTTAGCAATCCTCGTGGGCAAAGATCACACAATATGGGATACCCACCTCGCAGCCATTAGGTTTGCGATGAATTCCGTTGTTACAACCAGCACTGGATTTTCACCGGCTTACCTAACTTTTGGTAGGGAGCTGCGCGCACTTGCGGACGTTGTGGCAGATATGAAGTCTATTGTGGATAGTGATAACTTCGTCGCTAACATTACGCCTTATCTTCGTAACTTGGCTAACGAGCTCTTAGAGGCCAGGGATGTGCACGAGCGCGCGCAGGCCGTTCATAAGAGATACGCGGATTAGGGCCGTCGTCCGCCGCCCGACTATCCTGCTGAAGACTCAGGGCGCTAATGACACCGGAACGGGACAAGTTGCAAAGTTTATACCAAGAAGAGATGGGCCATACCGGATCCGAGAGGTCGTAAGCCCGACGACTTACCTGTTAGAAGGAGCTTCTCGAGGCGAGATGATAGGTCGGTACCATGTGTCTGCCTTGACCCCTTTTGTAGGCGTTATCGAGTCTCCAGTTAGGGAAAGACGTAGGCGTGGTAGGCCACGGAGACAGTAGGCGGGAAACCGTGGAGACATTAGGCGCTAGTCCGAACGCGAGGGTGCTACGTTCGAACTAGAGGGGGAGTGTGTAACAACCCTAGGTCATCCCCATATAGGCTCGTCAACCCTACGAATTGCACGCTTGCGAGGTAGAGTCGAGCTGTGAGTATCTTAGCAACGCGCTCGAGTGATATAGAGATAATATTATGATTATATGTGATTTCTGTTGTATTTTAATAATAAAAGCCTCATGAAGTACTGCTGGCTCATTATACAGAGTATTTGTTAATAGGGCCAATACTCCTGGATACAGCCAAGGGTACACAAGAAATAAAGTAAACACCTTGTCCTCATATTTTTTAAAAACTGTACACGTGACTACTACATTTATAAAAATTACATCAGAATTTTTTTCCTACACACACCAATTTGCCTAGCCCCAAAGTAAGCACAGTAAGGCTTGTGTTATTATATACTAGGGTAACGGAGAGAATATAAGTATTTTCATATACAAATATATATATAAACATCCATGGCTAAGGTACAAATGCTCGTATTCTTCATATTAACATTTCAACTCACAGGGATTCGAATCCGGGGACCTCACGAGTAAGCGAAACCTTGAAACATGTATATACAGGTGGCGCAAAAGAAACGTAGGGGTTTAATAGTCTATAATTTTAATTTGCGCTCTTTCACATGTTTTCCATGACTTTTCTCAAGAGTTCAGGAGTTATCGCTCGAATTTCTTCCCGAATATTATTATTTTGTTGGGGTATGGTCTCTGGCTTAATGACGTACACACGTTCTTTTAAATATCACCAAAGGAAAAAAACTGGAGCGGTTAAATTCGGCGAACGTGGTTGTAAAATCGCTGTTTCTTGAAATAATGCGTGTAGCGAAAATGTCCCGTAACAGGCGCAACTTTGCGAAGCTGAGAATGGGATTTACTCGATGTTATTTTTACACGTTTAAAATAACCACATTCCCCATTAATAAAGTGTACAATATTTAAAAAAAAATGACTCAAAAATAAAGCAATTATAGACTATTCAAACTCCTTCGTTTCGTGCCACCCTGTACGACTCTGGCACGGAGGTCGTCTGTTGTCTTGACTGTGCCAATTAGAATTTCTGTTAACTGTGAAACTAGAATTGTCTCGGTTTGACTAATTAACGCGTCCTGCCGCTCATTCCTCACCTGATATTGCTTTATGCAGCGATTGACATTATCCAAATTGATTTTCATCAGCTCTTTGTCTATCGGTGTGAAGCATTTCATGCATTTGCTCGTTAAATTGGAATTGTTCGAACTGAATTTCACCGCACAATCTGTGTTTGGGCACCTGTTGAGGGTTGATAAATAATAGCTTAAGAGCCAGTGGACGGCTACCTGTATGTATTTGACCAGACCTGGGGTTTTGTACAGTGAGGCCCCTATACCTACCATATATGAGATGGGGGTTCACTAAGCCCCAACTGGTGGACGCGGCGCGCGCTCAGGTAAGACAGGTAGCGGATTTTTGGCGAATTTGAAATGCATTTGACCACGTCTGCCGTTTTGATATTTGAAAATATATTATCATTATTATCTAAAAATAACAATGGCAGAGAATTATCGCGCGCTTAGCATAGTGGCAGACAGTTTAAAAGTGTTGAAAAAAATTAAATTTTGAAATTAATTGACCAGAGAGGGCCTTCAATTATATCCCCACCCTAACGGTTTTTAATTATTTATTTAAACTTTATTGCCACATTTACAAAAATGGACAAAAGGCGAATTTTACGCTAAAAGCATTCTCTGCCAGACAACTTTTAGGCATAAAGAAATCCACGAATGCGGCTATAATAAAAAGTGATTTACTATAAACATACACCAGTAAAAGTAACTACATAAATATTTATTTAAAAATAAACCTAAATATATAAATAATTTATTATTCACACAGTGTATAAACTATATTGATGATGAGACTTTGAAGGGAACTTGTGAGCGGAATGAAAAGAATCATCATCATCAGACCTTATAATAAGGAAATATAACAAATAACTAAATATATAAAGAACTAAAAACACAACAATACAAGTTAAAACAAATTAATTAATGAGACAAAATACTATTACTGTTTTTTTAGTTCTATTCTTCTCTGTTGAGAAAGGCAAAACCATGCAGCCATCGACTTATTTTTGTATTAATATTCCTTTTTTTTTTACATTAGAATTTTGATGCAAGCTCAATACCACCGTGTAAGAGTGAGCTTTACCAGCAACTTCTAAGAGCTCATTATATTTCAAGTGTTTAGAGAAATGCTTATAAGAAGCAACCTACCACATTGGACCCATTAAGAGTTCGGTTGGATTAAGCAGGACGACAAATTTGTATTCAAATGGTTCGAAGTTGATCCCTGGTAAGTTCATAATAATCAATTTTTTATCGAATATGTTCTCGGATCACTTCTCCAATTATTTTTATTTTATAATTAATGTTTTTTTTCACAGATTCCGATTCTACGGACGATGAAGACGAGTTACACCACGACAGACATGACTCCGATGACGATAAATGAAGATTGAAATTAGTCGGAAAAAATATTTATTTTGTAAAGCATGCACGATTTATATTTTTTTATGATTTTTTTTCAAATTTTGTCTTAAATAAATAAAAAGAAGAAAATTAAATGAATATTTGAATGATTATTTGTTATCTGCAATATACCCTAATATTTGAGATTCTTCCGAAATATATTTACTTACTTATCATCAAACTCATCAGTTTTAGTACATAGTTTACAAAATTAAATTTTAAATTTATATGGAGGCAGTAATAAACTAAATCATATTAATGTGAAATTGAATTGAGAACTTAATATATATATGTATATATTATACATATGACCGGATAGTAGCTAAGATTTTATTGTCTACTGAAGTGTGTACGCAGTGAAGCCGTCTGCCGTGATGAATATAAGTTTTTAAGACCCTAATAAATAAAATATATCAATGGCAGATCTGGTCAATTAATTTCAAAATTAATTTTTTTCAACACTTAAAACTGTCTGCCACTATGCTAAACGCGCGATATAGGTCTGCCATTGTTATTTTTAGATAATAAGCACAACAATTGCTGAATCGATGTCCCACATGTCAACAATCTCGCGAGCTAAATCAAGATATTTGTTTTCTTTATCTTTTTCAGCTTTTACAAGGTTGTCGTCATGTGGGACAGCGACATCAACAACTACTGCACGGCGTTCGTGTCGATCTATCAATACAATATCGGGCTTATTAGCCACAATAGTCCTGTCTGTAATGATAGATCGATCCCAATATAATGTGGCATGGCTATTTTCAAGAACCTGTTCTGGAGCATACCTGTAGTAAGGAACCTCGGATGCTAAAAGATTGTATTTCAAAGCAAGTTGTTGGTGTATTATCCTGGCCACTTGGTTACGTCTGTGCAAATATTCGCCATTTGCGAGACGAGAACAACCGGAGATTATATGCCTAAGGGATTCACCTGGGCGATGGCACGCACGGCAAACATCCAATGTGCCATCCTTCAGTATAAACCTCCGGTAGTTCTTCGTCATCACAACCTCATCCATAATTGCACAGATAAATTATTATCAAAAAAAAAACCGTCAACGTGACAACACATTCTTTCCAAATTCTCTAATTTATTTAATTTTCAATCAAACAATCGTATAACCATATTTATTACCATAGTTTTTTGAATTGAATCTATTACAAAACCAAAAATTAAATAGAAATAAAAAAGAAAATTTTTCACAAACATGATTACTTTGATGACATGTGTAAGTGTCAAAACAAATAATAACAACAGAGAATGGAAATGAATCAACAATGTTGACGAGGAGCAAAACAGCACGGTTAAGACCACCGGACTCGTCACGTCGTTCCGCCTCGCAGTTATCAGCAACAGACACAGTACCGAGTACCCTCCGGCTGACACCTGCAGTTGCGTCGAGCGATATTGACGAGTACTTCTCTCTTCCGGCGACGCCACCACCAGTTCGTCGAAGAAGAGGCCGGCCACCGAAGGGTTTGGGGCTTGTGGGGCAATCGGCTTCGGTCAGGGCCCCCGCTCCCGGTGGAGTGCACCGCATGCGATGGACAACTTCCATAAACGAAAGTGTCATGCGTGCATATTTTGAGGCAACAAAGACAGGAACCAATCTTACTGCGTACCGTGCTCGGATGCTTTCTCTGTTTCAGGCTCTTGAACCAACTGTCAACGTTTCGGCTCAACGATTATCGGATCAGGTGCGGGCCATTCAACGGAGTCACTTATTGGATGACTCTACACTTGATCGGCTCCGTACAGAGGTACAAAGTAATCACATCATTTCTATTGCATCACAGGCGGCAAATCTATCCCCGTCCATAACAACATTACAAGCTGACGTTGCTGATGGTGATGATAGAGATGATGTGATTACTACTGTAAGTTCCCAACACAATGATGTATTGAGGAGTACTTTCGAGGATGTAGTTCGGGAATTTCGATCCACTCCGTTGCGTCTTAGACCTCGGCTTCCGCGTTTCCCTATGCACAAAAAAAATAGGGCGCTGATGTGTGCTTTAGATTCGCTATTATCAAATTATATTGATAGTAGCGAAGACCTCGCTGATACACATTCGATCTTGTACTGTGCGGCTGTTACGGCTTGTCGTGTGGCGCATGTCAAATTCCCAAATACTGACATAGCGACACGCCCTAGACAGGCTGTACCAGCCTGGCAGTGCAGGATTGAGAGCCGTATTAGCGAAGCTAGGGTACTCATCGGTAAGCTCAGCTGTTTCAGGGAGGGCAACACCCGCCCTAGGGTCATGCGCTTTGTGAGACGAGCATTCTCGGGAACAGGTATTAGTCCCGAGAATTATAGTTCACGTGTCACAGAGTGCATTGACTTTCTGAAACAGAAAATTTGTGCATGGGCTAATCGCATTCGAAGGTATAAGTTACCGAGTGAGTCGTTTTACTCAGAACCGCATGTTCGAAAGAGACGTTGTGTTTATCGATCCTGGGAGCGATCGAATCCGAGTGATATTGATATGCATCGACCGGATGATGAGGCCATGATTTCTTTCTGGCGCAACATCTGGTCCGTGCCTGTCACTCATTCTGATGGCGCGTGGATGAGGGATGTTGAGCGATCGTGCGAGCTTTTACCTGAAATGAACGATGTAACCATTGACTACGAAGACGTAGCTTGTGCAGTTCGTTCGTTACCCAACTGGAAATCGCCAGGCCCGGACGGACTGCACAACTTCTGGTTTAAATGGTTACCAAGCTCGCACGTTTGCTTAGCATCTCAATTCCAGCGTGCTTTATCATCTCGGTCGCTTCCGGAATTTATGACAACAGGCATAACCCATCTGCTTTATAAATCTGGAAGTACTACGGACCCAAAAAATTATAGACCAATCACCTGTCTACCAACAATTTATAAAATTCTTACATCTATTTTGAGATCTAAGATTAGTAAACATATTGATCAAAATTCTATCATGTTCACCTCTCAAAATGGATGTAGGAATGGGGCCCGTGGTACTAAGGAGCTACTCCTCATTGACATGGCTATTAATCAACAGGTCCGCCGTAACCGAAAGACTCTGTCGACTTCCTGGATAGATTACAAGAAAGCGTATGATTCCGTACCGCATTCATGGCTCATGAGGGTGCTGGAGCTGTATAAAATAAATGCAATTCTACGCACTTTCTTGATGTCATGTATGCGACAGTGGAGAACGGTCCTATTCTTTCCAGAATCTCTACGGACTCTGGGTAACGGCGATCCTATAAAAATAGAGCGAGGCATCTTCCAGGGCGACGGTCTGAGTCCATTGTGGTTTTGCCTGGCCTTGAACCCTCTGAGTACACTACTCGAGAGTTCAGGTTTAGGCTATCGTTTACGGAGAAATGGTCAAGTAATATCACACCTGCTTTACATGGATGACTTGAAACTTTTTGCCCACAACAGTTCTCATTTGACAGCCTTACTGAAGGTTACTGAAGATTTCAGTAATGCTATCAGAATGGAATTTGGTGTGGACAAATGTGCAATCATGCATGTAAAGCGTGGTCAGGTAGTGGAATCTGCGGGTATACAACTCTCGGATTCAGTTCACCTTAGATCTCTCTCCGTAAACGAAACCTATAAATATTAAGGTATGTCACAGGGATTAGGCATCAACGATGCTGACATGAAATGGCACATTACGTGAGCGTTTCTTGGGGCGCCTGTCAAAAGTTCTTAAAAGTCTTTTGTCGGGCGGAAACAAGGTTCGTGCATATAATGGCTGGGTAATGCCGCTATTGATGTATTCCTTTGGCATACTTAAATGGACTCAAACTGAACTTGATGCCTTGGACAGAACAGTTCGTACATTGTTAACAGCACACCGTATGCATCACCCACGCTCCTCGACTATGAGATTGTATATCCCGCGGAAGTGTGGTGGTCGTGGCTTCCTAAATGCCAAGACATTACATAACCGCGAGATAAACAATCTAAGGGAGTATTTTCTTAACGTCGATATGGGGATTCATAGAGATGTAGTTGCTGTTGACAATGGACTCACTCCTCTATTTTTAGCAAAAGAAAACTGGCGCAGGCCTGTAGTACTTAGTACTTTGGATCGCAGCATTGTATGGCAAAGCAAGGAGTTGCATGGCAGATTCTACCGGGCTCTTCATGGGCCTGACGTAGATTTATCAGCATCAGTATCCTGGCTACGTTTCGGTGACCTTTTTGGTGAAACCGAAGGTTTTATCTGTGCAATTATGGATGAGGTTGTGAAGACGAAGAAATACCTGAGGATGGCACATTGGATGTTTGCCGTGCGTGCCATCGCCCAGGTGAATCCCTTAGGCATATAATCTCCGGTTGTTCTCGTCTCGCAAATGGCGAATATTTGCACAGACATAACCAAGTGGCCAGGATAATACACCAACAACTTGCTTTAAAATACAATCTTTTAGCATCTGAGGTTCCTTACTACAGGTATGCTCCAGAACAGGTTCTTGAAAATAGCCATGCCACATTATATTGGGATCGATCTATCATTACAGACAGGACTATTGTGGCTAATAAGCCCGATATTGTATTGATAGATCGACACGAACGCTGTGCAGTAGTTGTTGATGTCGCTGTCCCCCATGACGACAACCTTGTAAAAGCTGAAAAAGACATAGAAAACAAATATCTTGATTTAGCTCGCGAGATTGTTGACATGTGGGACATCGATTCAGCAATTGTTGTACCGATAATCATATCTGCCCATGGTTTGATAGCCAAGAGCCTCGATAAACACCTTAAGAGGCTCGCGTTAGGTGGTTGGGTCAAGAGTCAGATGCAGAAGGCAGTACTTATGGACGCGGCCCGTATTGTGAGGAGGTTCCTGTCTCTGGATCCTTAACCACCGTTAGCAGGGACCCTGATCTTGCTGCCGATGGGGAACTACATTTTTGTATTTTTAAATGTTATTTTTTTAATGTTATACGCTGTAAAAAACTAATATTTAGAAATATAATTTTGTATATATATTTAATGAAATAAAGGACTAATAATATATTTTCAAATATCAAAACGGCAGACGTGGTCAAATGCATTTCAAATTCGCCACAAACCGATACCTGTCTTACCAGAGCGCGCGCCGCGTCCACCAGTTGCGGCTTAGTGAACCCCCATCTCATATATGGTAGGTATAGGGGCCTCACTGTACAAAACCCCAGGTCTGGTCAAATACATACAGATAGCCGTCCACTGGCTCTTAAGCTATAATTAAGTCACGTAGTTTTTAAGAGTTCAATAAACTAACAAACTTTATTAATTTAAACAAAACGAAATTGAATTTTGAATAGGAATTGAGCAATGCGGACCGTGTTTTAATTTTTACTTTTAATGGTTTTTGGATATTCTTGTGCATTTTATTATGACGCTTTACTCCTCCCTTCTCTATCTTCTACCCAGTGAGAGAAATAATATTGATATTATTATAGTAAAAGATTTACCGTAAGTACAGTGGGGGTTCTGAAGTATTCATTTGCTTCAGCGTGGGCCAATCCTCTTTACAAGCGATACACTCGCACTTGAACCAATATCTGCACGCAAGCGACCTCTGGCGATCTTTGAGACTGCGCATCAGAAAATGAGGTCCGTAGTTCTCTGAAATGACATCACCCGGGCTCAAGGGGCGAGTCGCACGCAACACAATCTTGGATCCATCAAAGTACCTGTGAAATGAGTAATACTGATTAAGATTGTTCATGATTCTTATATACTATTATTAAAAATAAAATGCTAAAAATGCCAGGTAACGATATATGGGATAAGACTTGTTTGCATTTACTAAGGAAGTTATACAGGGTGTTACAAAAATACAAATAAAGCTTGAAGGGCGTTGAAGTACATCTTAAAAGGATCTAATTTTCTTAAAACATTTGCATGAAGTTTTAATTTTTTTTTCTAGATCTGCAATCAGTCGTAGACTATAAGCAAATTTGAAGTGTGAATATGATGTCTTTTCCTTAGTGTATCTCCCATTGGAGATATCTACTCCTGCCACATTAACTAAGTCTAGTCGTTTTCTAGTATTACACGGCGTTTCAACCTTGTCTTTCTTTTTGTTTTTATTAGTTGGCAAGCTAGGTCATTCGGGTGATTAATAAGCCTCTTCTTGTATGACTGTGTATACTGTTGGATCTCTTCCCTTATGGTTCTTATTTGCAGATTATCATGTAGCTCGTTATTAGTGACAAACCATGGGGCATCTTGACATGGTTCTTAAGACAATGTTTTGAAATCGTTGCAACATGTTGATATTTGAGTCACTAGCACTTCCCCATAGCTGAATGCCATACGTCCAACACGGCTTTAGAATGCTTTTGTAAATTTGCAATTTGTTGTCGATAGATAGTTTAGTATTGCGTCCCATCAACCAGTACAGGTTTCTATATTTGATGTTGAGCTCGTCTCTTTTTGTTTTTATATGGGTTTTCCATGTAAGTCTCCGGTCCAAGTGCATGCCAAGGTACCTTACGGAATCATTATGTTTGAGTATATTACTGCCAAGGTGAACTGTTGGGCAGTTATCCCGTCTCAGTGTGAAGGTAATATGTACAGATTTTTCAGCACTAGCTTTTATCCACCATTTGTTTAGCCAGGTATTTACTTCATCTAGTCCCTTCTGAAGCATTGCTGAAGCTAAGACTGGGCTGTCACTCTTTGCCAAAATGGCGGTATCGTCAGCATAAGTTGCCATTGTAGTTCCTGGTACTTCCGGTAGATCCGAAGTATAAATCGTGTAGAGAATGGGGACAAGAATTGATCCTTGGGGCACTCCTGCTTTTATCTCATAGAAAGGCGATGTGAAATTATCCTCCTTAACCTGAAACAGACGATTCGATAGGTATGAAACCATGATAAGGTAGTAGCTGTGTGAGATATTTGCTTTGATTTTGATGAGCAATCCATGATGCCAGACTCTGTCGAAAGCTTGCTGTATATCTAGGAACGCAGATGAGCAATATTCTTTATCTTCTAGAGTGTTTCGTATCACACTGAACACTCTGTGAACCTGTTCGACTGTCGAATGAAGCTCCCTGAATCCAAACTGATGGTCCGGAATTGTTTTATTTTGTGCAAGCATTGACACAAGTCTAGACTTTAAAACCCTCTCGAACAACTTTGATAGAACTGGTAACAGACTTATCGGACGTTAAGAAGTTATTTCATGTGCTGGTTTTCCCAATTTCCGAATCATTATTATTTGTGATATCTTCCATATACTCGGGAAATGTTGTACTCGCAAGATGCCATTGAATAATGTTGCCAAAAAGGTTACAGCTTTCCTTGGGAGGTTTTTTAACACTTCCTTCGTGATTAGATCGAAGCCTGGTGCTTTTTTGTCCTTGAGACTCTTAATTAGGGCCCATACCTCTCTAGTTGAAGTTGGCTTGGGTGGCAAGTCCAACTGCAAGTCTTGGTTTAAAAAGCTCTGCATGCTCTTATCGAAGTTCACATCCCCTATTTCATTGGGAGTAAACACTTTTGAGAGATATTCCGCAAATACATTTGCTTTGTCCTGTTTACTTCTGGCCCATTTATTTGTAGCAGTTTTTATAGGGGGCTTCGCCTCTTGAGGTCGATCTAGGGATTTGGTAAATTTCCAAAGAGAATAATTTGAAGCAGATGTAGCTGTTAGAGATTCCAGTTTTGATTGCAGGGTGTTATGTTGCAAGTCCGATAATGCAGCTTTAAGTTCCGCAATAGCTTTGTTCAAGGCGGTTTTATCCATTGGATGCCTGGTTTGATGCCACACTCTTCGCAAGCGTCTTTTCTCCAGAATTTTTGTTTTATTTCTAGTGGATGAATTTCCAAATTATTTCTTTGTTTTATTTCGGGAGTGCATTTCCAACACGCTTCTTAGATTAGAGTAGTTATATAGTGGGTAGCATTTTCAATATCCTCTGGTGTCTTTAGTGCCATTTTTAGCTCTAAATTTTGGTCTATATATTCTCGAAAGGAATCCCAGTCTGTATACTTGTTTGTTAGTGTCGGATATGTTTCGTACTCTATAAGAGTCTTGCTAACCGTTAGAATCACTGGTGTATGGTCCGAGCAGCTATCAAGACTAGATTCTGATTTGAAGTAATGCTTGGAGAGTCCTCCTACAACAAAGAAGTCCAGAAGGTCTGGTAACTTATTGATATCAGTAGGCCAGTATGTCGGTTCTGCAGTTGATATTACTTGTAGGTGATTCGAATCAACGCAGCTCTTTAGTTGTCGACCCCTAGTTGTTATCAGTCTAGATCCCCAGTGAGTATGTTTTGAGTACCAATCTCCTCCCGCAATAAACCGTCGTCCAAGTGATGCGAAGAAAGATTTGAACATAGTTTGGTCGATTTTATGTTTTGGCGGGCAGTAAACAGAGGAAACGTTGAAGAAGCCGCATTTGACTTCTACAGCGACGGTGGTTCCTTGTAAGTAATGAGTCTTAAACGCCGGCATGCAGTGTTTTATGGTCTTTCGGATTATTATAGCTGTCCCTGCATGGGCCGTTCCATCCTGGTGATTGGTGTAATAGGTGTTAAAGCCCTTAAAGTTAACGCTACTTGAACTTGTACAATGGGTCTCTGTAACAAGTACTATGTCAAGTTTGTGCTCATTGATTAGGACTTGAACGTCGTCTTTGTTCGGTGTAAGTCCATTTGCGTTCCATGTTGCCAGTTTGATGCTACCTATTTTGATATTTTGTTTATCTGTGTTGCCAAGAGACCTAACATGGTACTCATTTGTTGTAATATTAATTCGAATTGTTGTGATTGCTTTGAGAGGATTATTTCAATGTTATTTATTGGTATGGATTTTGACTTAGCTATATCATTTTGAGGATTATTCTTATTTGAAATCAAAGGTGGTGGCCCATTAGCCCATGAGTTACCTTTTTTAATGCCTTCACTACTCATGTGTTTTGTTGTATCAGCGTCCGTCATTAATTTTGATTGAGGGCGTATATATACAGCTTTTCTTATCGAGGGTAGAGATGTAATTTTGCGAGCTACAATTTCTTGGTATACTGTGCATTCTTTATAGTTTGCCGGATGAGGACCTTGGCATAGGGCGCATTTGGCAGGGGTGTTCCGGTCGCGCTTTGTGCACTCGGATGTTTTATGTGGTAGTGCGCATTTAACACAACGGAAGGGCCTCATGCAGTAATTCTTTGTGTGACCATACTGTTGGCACCTCTGACACTGCACTATTGCCTTCCTTCTCTTTGGGTCTTCTATCTGGATAGATTGGTGATAAACATATTTTAATTCCTTTACTTGTTTGTTATTTGGGCCAGGTAAAATGTTGACGAAAAATGTTGAAGTTGGTATCTTTTCAGGGCCATATTTAACGTTGATTACTTCCTCTGTAACCGAGTTTCCGGTGCTTTCAATAGCTTCTATAATTGCACTAGTCGGGACCCATTCAAGATATTCAAGAATGGATAAAATTTTTCAATAATTGGTCCCGACTGTTAAAGTAGCTTTGTTCCTTACTTACCAGAATTATAGACTACTGGACTTGTTTTTTTTTTATTTTCAGTTTTTATATGAAGTAATATTTTCGCAATCGAGTTTTTTGATTTTTAAACTTATCATTTTTATTTGACTCTTTTAAGTATTATAAGATGGCATATACCGTAGTCTCGTTACTTAAGTAAGGGAATTAATATCGCGGGAATTATTAAGTACCTTGCGGTGGTTTCAGACCGATTGATTTATTAAGACATAGAGGCCTTACCAGCAGGGTCAGGGCCTCAATTTTCGCAAAAATGTGTGAAGTTAATCGTAAATCAAGTCGTTACTTATATATCTAATGCCTGTAAATTTTATAATTAACTATAACTTATTCAAAAAGTGATCATTTGCTTAAGTTCTTTTTAGTAGTTTAGAAGTAAATATAAAATTCATTTACTTTTATTCGTCGACTATCTAAAGTTGGCAGTAGCTGCATTATCATATCAACGTTCGGCTCTAAGATATACAAAAATACAGTGTCAAATCCTAGTCTTATGATATACCTACATAATTCACAGAAACCAAATATGTAGACGCCAGAGGTTAACTTCAAATGTTATTAATCACCCTGTATACAATACCAATCAATAACGTTAATGTCGGAGGTTGACGAAAGGAATAATTCCCATCTGTTGTATTGGTGGAAACTGCCTTAGACCTCTAAATTAAATAATTATGCAATCACCAAAGCAAAGTTTATAATATTTGATTGTGCAGAATAAAATTTTCATAGCGTTAGGTACAGAACCATAGCAATCCCATTTATTATCAATTTATCACCCAATGTATAGATTTACATCTATGTCGTTCTTTTTTAAAGCGTTCACCAGTTACAGGTCGCAGCCTTTCTGGTCTAACTTTTTTAGTGGTAGTGTAAATGCTCGAATGCAGAGTACTTTCACCTATCAATCGGGCTGCTACCAGTGTTACAAATGGTGCAATCATAAAAAATATTTTCCAAATATTTTTTTCTACCTATGTTTATTATAAGTATGTATAAATTACCGAATAACGAATCACTGTTTACCAAAAATGCTCAGGAACTTTTACCAATATAATCAAATAAACCTACTACTTACTTTATTTTTAAATCTTTTGCATCAATTACATATTATTATCCAACTATCTATACTATTATTATAAGGTGGCAAGAGTTGTATGTTTGT